CTGTTCGACAAAAGCACCTCGCACGAGACTTCAGCTGTAATTGTCCAGCTTGCTCTGAGGAAGACGACGATGACTCGGTTGTTATCATGCCATTCACCTTGCAAGATCGGTTGCACTTGAAGGTGCTCGAGCCGATGGACCGTCTCGAGAAAACTGCCGAGCTCTTAGGTGAGGACAGGAGCGTAGCTCTTAGAGTTCACTTAGCAGATGTTTCTCAGAGTCTCAGAGTGGCGACCGGCGGTTCCTAGCTAAAGACTGTACACACATTATGACGGAGCGCTGTCGAGCTCTGCTCGAGATCGGACAGTTTCAGGCCGCCGCTGACCAGTGGAGTGGCGTTGTGTCCTTTTGCCAAAGTCATCTGCCTCCCAACGATCCCTACCTTGCTGAAGTGGCAATCAACTACGTGTTCAGTCAAGTCCTCGCCATTGCTACTAGTGAAGACGAGCAGCATGAATCGACGATAGACTGCCCTGTTGATATTCGACTGTGTCTCGAGTTGGCCTTTGGGCCTTTTAGTGCTATCAAACCATTCGTAGTCGACGAGGTTCGAGCACTGGTATCGCCAGTAGTTGGCGAGGATAACGTTACTGATTGGTTACAGCAAATGCTGAGCATAATCGACCCCTGACGTCGAGCCTGTTGAGTTTTGTCAGCAACCACGGCACAGCATAACCAGAGGGGGAACTCCCCAGAGATGGGAGCCTCTTGAGCCGAGTCCGTCTAGAACGGTGTCGTGATGACCTTATTAGATCAGAAATTGGCAGGGCCTTCGAACGGTGTGGGTTCGCTGACCAGCTTCCACTTCGCATCGTGGAAACAGACGTTCGGAGTACTTTTTGTGTCCACATGTTAACTCACACAATAATCCTCCACAAGTACTGGGAAGTAAATACTACCAAGGGAACTGGTTGGAGGCGTTGTACCGCTCCAGAAGCTGTTTCACGAGGCAGTGATCATCCCACACCGGAGATTATTCCTACAACAATTACAACTCTGCCATCATCTGTATCCCAGACTCATGAATGTGTAGTTATCTCGATGACCATGCACACAACTTACTTAGACTTTTTCCCCTATCCAGTGTGTTGTCACATTCCTGTGGACGATAGTGAGATGAGGACGCGCGTTTGTAGTAAGAATCCGCGTTGTGGCAGGGTTTCTGGAGTATTCTAGTTCTCGATTTTCGCGTAGACTCTACGCCGGAGAGTTCGGCCGTATGCGAGACTGTAAAGAAACTCAATGCAAGTTCGAACAAAGACAACAGTTATCAGTCATCATCACTATTTATAAACGTCTTGATAGTGATAGTGAAAGTTCATAACTCATCAGTATTTACAGCTAATGAAAACACAATTAGTCAGACGTAGGAAGCTGTGCCTCGAAAGCAGCTGTATCGCCCTTCTCCAATGCCTGCTCCATCTGAACGATCTTCGAGCATCCAGAGATCATGATGTTCACGAGCTCGACCTCAGACTTGCCAATTCTATCACTATTGGAGATGTCCCAGATACCACCAACACTGGCGCTGTCTACTCCAGCACCACCACGAGCTTGAAGGTGCAAGGATTTACAGATATCCTTGAAGTCGGGCCTAGCTGAGAGTAGTGGGACCTTCACCATGACAGATGCACGAAGACCAGTGCCAAGGTTGCTTGGACATGTGAGGACGTAACCGAGATGGTCATTATGCATGAAGTCGTAGCCTTCTTGCTTAACAACCTCCTGCACCTTGTTAACTGCATCACAGAATCGAGTGAAAACAGTCTTAATGTCGGCACCCTTCTGCATGGATATGATTCTCATGTGGTCTTCTTCATTCACCCAAACTAGGAAGTTCTTCTGATCGTTGGCGAAGATACCACGAGCATCCGGCCAGTGTCGGCCCATACCAGACGACAGTAAAAGAGTAGAGTCAGGCTCTTGGAAGAGGAAGTGATCTTCACGCATTTGATGCTCCTCAGCGGCACTCATTCCCCCAGGCTTCTCAGGATAGCTATCCGAGCCAGCAAGCGGATAGTAGTCACCAGCCAGGTCTCCACCCAAGGCTTTCAGTGCCTTAGTTAAGACTCTCTCGACCTCTCTCCTCTCTTCTTTGGTGCAAGATGGTGGAAGTCTAATTCCACGCACACTGCGACCCGTCCTCACTCTAGTGGATATGACGTAGTTTTGAGAAGGATCAATTGGAGTATCGAGGAGTTTGGTATAGTCTAGATCAGTGGGGTGCTTGGCATCAGGAGGGTAACCACCATGGCGTTGGTCGATGACAGGATCGAATAGCTCTTTGAAGACCTCGTAGCTCTCCTCATCACCAGCTACCATACCGACTGTTTTTATCATGGGATGCCCCTTGTTGTCCATCCCGGTTTTGATGCACTTCGCGAGGCTAACTCCGTTCGGCGTTTTCTTGTCTTTAAGTTTGGCATATATCTCAGGATCAGCCTTTAACACGTCGGCCATGACACTATGATGCTCAGAAAGGTCTGGCATGTCAGGTGGGCAATCTTCATGGGGGAATCCAGGGAACTCGTCGTCGCCGAGGCCAGGCATGGTCGAGTAGTCAGGGTGATCACCAGAAGACGATTGAGTGCTGGCAGGTTTGAGTGCCTCGAAAGCAGCTGTATCGCCCTTCTCCAATGCCTGCTCCATTTGGACGATCTTCGAGCACCCCGAGATCATGATGTTCACGAGCTCGACCTCAGACTTGCCAATTCTATCACTATTGGAGATGTCCCAGATACCACCAACGCTGGCGCTGTCAACTCCAGCACCACCACGAGCTTGAAGGTGCAAGGATTTAGAGATATCCTTGAAGTCGGGCCTAGCTGAGAGTAGTGGAACCTTCACCATGACAGATGCACGAAGACCAGTGCCAAGGTTGCTTGGACATGTGAGGACGTAACCGAGATGGTCATTATGCATGAAGTCGTAGCCTTCTTGCTTGACAACCTCCTGCACTTTGTTAACTGCATCACAGAATCGAGTGAAAACAGTCTTAATGTCGGCACCCTTCTGCATGGATATGATTCTCATGTGGTCTTCTTCATTCACCCAAACTAGGAAGTTCTTCTGATCGTTGGCGAAGATACCACGAGCATCCGGCCAGTGTCGGCCCATACCAGACGACAGTAAAAGAGTAGAGTCAGGCTCTTGGAAGAGGAAGTGATCTTCACGCATTTGATGCTCCTCAGCGGCACTCATTCCCCCAGGCTTCTCAGGATAGCTATCCGAGCCAGCAAGCGGATAGTAGTCACCAGCCAGGTCTCCACCCAAGGCTTTCAGTGCCTTAGTTAAGACTCTCTCGACCTCTCTCCTCTCTTCTTTGGTGCAAGATGGTGGAAGTCTAATTCCACGCACACTGCGACCCGTCCTCACTCTAGTGGATATGACGTAGTTTTGAGAAGGATCAATTGGAGTATCGAGGAGTTTGGTATAGTCTAGATCAGTGGGGTGCTTGGCATCAGGAGGGTAACCACCATGGCGTTGGTCGATGACAGGATCGAATAGCTCTTTGAAGACCTCGTAGCTCTCCTCATCACCAGCTACCATACCGACTGTTTTTATCATGGGATGCCCCTTGTTGTCCATCCCGGTTTTGATGCACTTCGCGAGGCTAACTCCGTTCGGCGTTTTCTTGCCTTTGAGTTTGGCATATATCTCAGGATCAGCCTTTAACACGTCGGCCATGACACTATGATGCTCAGAAAGGTCTGGCATGTCAGCTGGGCAATCTTCGTGAGGGAATCCAGGGAATTCGTGGTCGCCGAGGCCAGGCATGGTTGAGTAAGCAGGAGCCACGCTTCCGTTCAACTGATTGTTGCCATTAGCCGGTTTCTTCGGCGCAGTCCTCTTAGCACTCGAAGATTGCGCACCTGCGACAACAAGACCCTCAGTCGAGCATGCAGTAGAAAACGACAATTGTTCACGAGCGTCGTTGGCAATCAGAAGGATGCGTAGAGACAACTCACCTCTCTTATCAATATATGTTGCCATGAATGTGAGGGGATTTGATGGCCTTTCAGTGAGAAGCTGCTGGACCATCCCTTGTAGGAACTGCTGAACTTGGAAGTCGTCGAGATACTTCTTCGCGTTCAGAGCGGCTTGATGTCGAGTTTGGCGCTGGGATTTCCTGAGAGGGATTGACACACGTCACTGTGCGAGTCCGCGCAAGAACTGTGCGATCTGTATCTAGCATCACTCGCAGCTTAGCTGATAGTAGTCAGCAGTAAGTAAGGAGATTGATCGATGGGAAGAATATGTAGGAAATACTACGCAAGGAGATCTCGCTATGTACACTATGGCGAAACACTCGGCTGGAAGTATGCGAAAGACCGCAAATGTGTCTTCGGAGTGAATGCAGATGAAGAATGTATGCAACACACGAACAATGGGGCTGATGGGACAGAAACGAAGCCACCATTTTTCGGTGATCTCTGTTAACAAGACCGATCCGACCAGCGTCTTACTTTTGTTTGGCTTGAGGGTCAGTGTGGTTAAACGAGAGAGACAACTCAACGGTAGGTCCTCCAGCCAAGTTATGGAGGGTCACCGACTGTTTCTGCTCACCAGCCTCTCGAAACTGATGAAGGGATACTTGACTGCTGCCGACCTGACCAAGACCAGTACAGGGGTATAAGGGAGAGAGCTGGACTGACCTGAGTGAAGAGGTCGACTTTGCAGGATTCCTGGGAGTCGGAAGGAAAGCGCAAAGGCTCGTTTAAGCGCAGAGGAGCTTGACGTCTGGTCTCGCCAACTCTGATAGACAAGTAGGCTTTATCTGAGAGGAGCAAACTGCTTGTGTGAAGAGGCAGGCCGCCACGACATACCGGGTACGTTGGTTGCATCGGTCACTGTTATATCCATGATGAGTGCACAGAAGAGTTATGGACGCAGGAGGCGACTAACACGGGAGGGAAAACGTTCTGAAGAACTGAAATGACAGGATATGAGCTCAAGAGACGGTGGACTTAGGAGAATTGAGACTTCTGTGGAATCCTGCGCTGATTGCGCGCTCGCCTTCATAATCGATCTCTCAGAGTTCTGAGCCGGACCGTCAACATGAGCAGATCGAACATGTAGTCCCTCGTCACTTGCTCAGCGGGACAAGATAAGTCGATGCGATAACTAGGGAGCAGCAGATAGTTGAGACGAAAAGAGATAGTTCATCAGCGGCTGCAGATCAAGGTAACTAGCTTTGGTAAAAGTCAGGTTACCAAATTCCCGGCGAGTGGCGTGTCCTCCGTTGTCGACAATTTCTAGTCGTTCGCAGAATCGACCAATGGTTCCGATCTGAAACCGTAAGATACGGCAAGATTCCGGGCGCATTGCAACTGAATATGCGCTGATGAAAGATGCAAGAACTTGCCAGATTCGCTTCGCTTTCCCGTATTGTCGTTAAGTGGGTACAACATGAAAGTTTCCGGTACACACCTGACGGTCTTTCGTTAATGGAGTGGTAATCCTTATTCGCTCGCTCTCTTCAGCTCGGCACTGGCCAGGACCCTGTCTATGTACCTCACCAGTGGATTCCTCTAGAGGCGTGATTCACCCACTGCCGCAGTATCCAAACAGACAACTCGAGCTCGCTGCAGTGAGGGCTGGGACACTCGTGCAGCTCTACCAACGTGACTACTGGTTAAGGCATGCCAAGGCCTCGTGTTGTTTCAGAAGTTTTTTACTGTAATGGCTAGTAGCGTCCCCGCGGTGAACGGATTCGGGGACTCGGCCTTCACCTTCGACCCCGCACCCGCTTCAGCACCACGACCGGGAGGCTCCACTCAATCACCTTTTGATACAAATTTTGATCCCACACACAGGGGAAGCGGCACTAATGTAGCACTATCGAGTCAACTTGAAGGTCGTGTCTAGTTCAAGCTGATAGGTATCTGGGTTCGGTGCAGTGCCAGGCAGCAGTTTTCCAACGACAGCAAACGCCCCTACCACTACAGGGGCTCCGGGCAGCGAGAGAGCTGCGGACTGTATTTATATTGACTTCGACATTCTGGGTGATGGGCAGACAGATCCCAAAGAGTAGGGGCCGACTATCATGAGGTCCTAAGGTTATCTCCTACAGGTTATTGAAGTCGCTGAAGGAGCAACTGGCTAGTCCCGAGGCTCCCATTCGTAATACATTTTCAACGTGAGGGTGTTAATGGGACTGAACTTGTCAGATAACGGCATGTTTGGTGTATTCGCGGACAAAGCTCAGCTGGAGGACGTGCCCTCTGGTTCTCCAAAAACCGCTGCAGAACCTCAGCCTGGCAACACGACCGGCGGGAACGGTAACAAATGGGAAGTGAAAAATCGCAGTAGTTGATAAAGTTGTGGTAGAGAAGACTGCTGGGGTATCCTCGGACGTGGACCAGCTGGCAGTAGAAAGGCGTTTAGCGAGTATCGAGCTCAGTGACGCCAAGGCTGAAATTGAGGACCTCAAAAAACAGCTGCAGGACTCGGGTACCACGATCGGCTCCCTTTCCTTCTCAATCGAATACTTATCGTAGTGTCGGCGCATGAGTCGTCTATGCACCAGTTGACCGAGGCCAGGAATCAACTCGATGAAACTATGAAGCAAGTGGCCAAGCTCGAGGTTAGAACGCTGTTTCAAGTTCGAGTCGCGGAGTGGTATTGGTATTAGGGAGAAGTGAACAGCTTAAAGAGTCAGAATAGGTCTTTGACGACGGATCTGAGTAATGCTAAAGAAATGTGGATGAAGGTACTAGGGGGGAGATACAGAATGGACGAGTGTTGGAATTGGAATGGTAGACCACATTCTGAGGAAGTTCTGGAAAATTCTTATTGGTTCCAGTAAACTTCTACCTTAATTTCGGTGTGAACTTCTATGAGTGAAAGCGAACATATATTTTCGCAACACTGGCTGAAACGACGCTGGTTGGGCTTGTTAGGAGTCTACACGGGCGTCTAAGCTCCAGGACGAACTCAATACGAGAGATGACCAAATAGCTGAGGATTCACGGAGGCTAGCAGAGATGGCAGCAACTAATGAGGTGCTTTCCTGCATTACCATCAGTCGAGTCGGATTCGGTGGTCAGGCGCTGCGACGGGAGAATGCTCAATTGAAGCAGCTTTTCGAGGGCTCTGAGGTGGAGGTAGCGGCTCGGGCTAGGGCGGCTGAGAACACCTTTGGACAGATGAATGAGAGGTTATAGTCTATGGGGAAGGGGACGGGGTGGAGAAAAGGTCATTGGCAGTTACTTTGGCGACTCGCGGGTGCCTGTGACGACCTCGAGGACCCCAGCGGCTATGGCGTCCAGTCTGGAGGAGATGGTGGCTCCTCAGACTGATGGGCTCATGAGGAGGCCTCCAACTACGGCTACTACTGCCTTCACGCCGACCCAGACTGGCCGATTGAGTAGTGGAAGCAACTGTACATGGATTCCTCTACTGTATGTCTAGGCACATCTGGGTCGCCCCCTAAGACGACTAACTGGGGAACGACGACAAGGTTGGCCCCTTCGGGAGGTGTCAGCGCTGGGGCCCTTCTACCTCATCATGTGGGCGCCCCTGCTACTGTGGAGCGCTTCAGAGCTCTCATTGGGGCGCAGGAAGGAGTACTGTATGAAGATGACATATTACAGGTGGAGACGTTGGTCGTAGAAGTCTGGGGTGATCGTGTACTTTTAGATCGGCTCGCAGTCTTCATATTCGTGCGGCATGGGGGAAGGGCAAGTGAGCCTTTATTTTGGCAATAAGAGTACTACCGTGTGCAGCGTGTTGGCGGTCAGTTCTTGTCCTGTTAGGTTCCGGGGCGTTGGATGGTTTTACCGTCGAGTTGATATCAGGGGATGATATTACCCTTACACCTACTGAAGCGGTGCCCACGGCTATCCGGGCTAAGCAGCAGGTAGAAGCGGCTGGTGAATGAGGGCCGCCCTGAGTGGAAGTGACAGCAGATACGATTAGTGGTGAAGGTGGCATGCACTAAGCCGACTCAGCAGATCCCAATGATGAGTGTAATATGGTCGGGTTCCGAGAGATAGTGGTAAAGTCACTAGTACTAGGGAGTGAACGGCGTTAGGGCACTGCAGAGTCCTGGTATCCATGACTGTGGTCAGAAAAAGCTCAATTGTGTTCATATAGACGCCTCGTTGAACCCACCTGAAACACGTCTCACACCCTTTTCTATGGATGTATCACTTTGCACGATACTACTGCTACGACTACTCAGTGTTAACTCTAGTACCACTATATTCTATCATAGTCTCTCTCCTTCAGATGCGTTTTTTGCTGTTCGACAATACCCCGCGAACGCTGTCCTTACGGTTGCCTATTCTTCTGTCGAAGTTCATGGCACCAGTAGACATACCAAATGCTGCTGATTTCTTCAGTATGTGGCGACACCATATGTGAGGACCCTCTTCCACTCTGCCTCAATCGACACCAAAATTCTATCAGATATCACTTGTCTGAGCAGTCCGCCGTAGTGAGCATCACAACATCGTACGATTGTCGAGATAGTCTTTTAGCGCTCGCCCGATCGGCAACTTTGGGAGGGGTAATAAGGACGGCAGTGGTTGGGAGTATGGACCTGCATCATGAGTAGGTTCTTCGGCTACATTCACAGCTAGATGCAAATCCCAACAATCTAGTCTTCTGTGGTAAGTTCCCGGCGGACAGTCCAGAAGGCATACAGTGCTTCACTCTGCCCAATGCTACGGTAGTGATTTGAATTTGTGATTGACGTTCATTAGCGCCCCCGTAGGTCCTGGTTCGAATTGAAGTTGGTACAGGGCCACAGCATGCAGGGAAGGCGAGAGTCGCGGTAGTGTCTTGATTCACTAGTTGTGGAGAGATCATGCCTTCGATGTAGGTGCGGTCGTCAGAACCTCTTGTCGCACTAGCAGTTAGAGACGACCTCCTACTTGCGTTTGCCGAGCTGCCAGTAGATGCGGAACCTAACGATCCCAACTTCATTACCTGAGGCCTGGGTCGTACCCCTGTCGTCGCCTAATATTGCTATTACTATCCTTCTGCGCCTGTGAGAACCTCTGCTACATTGGGCCAGCTTTCTTCTATCTGTTCGATTTGCGTTGTGGAGTACGCGGTCAGGCTACAGTGCTCAATGCAAGCTCTCGGTATATCTAGGGTAGTGTGTCGGGGTCTATGTTGGTTTTTTTCCTCAACTGAGCTCAGGAGTTTCGTTATCGCTCCATAGGATTAAGGCACACGACTAGAGTGCGCCAGAATGAGGAAAAACCTCCTGAGATTCCATTTTTCCTGTGTCGGGATTACGTGTGGCTGATATTGTGTATATTTTGCCCGATGTAGGGTTTGTCCCTCTCCCATGTGGACAGGACGGTCTTGGTTCATTCGAAGTGGTAGGCTCTATGGTAGCTACAGTGCCATGGCGACTAGAGGGGTATCCACTGATGTAAGTCAACGACTGGAGAAGGCGGTCAGCGACACTTTCGGGCGTCGGCACACGTACTTGCGGCTCTCTTTGACTGATAAATGCAATATGCGATGTCAATACTGCATGCCACCGGGTATTTACGGGGAACATGATGAAGAAATAAGGTACTTGGGACGTGGACTGGGATGGCTTCTAGATTGAAATGTGTACTGCTATCAGGCCGCCATCGGCAGACTATCTCACTGTAAAGGAGATAGTCACATTAGCGTCGACTCTCGTGAACGATCTTGGTGTGGATAAGATACGTTTGACCGGTGGTGAACCGACGGTAGTATTGGGGACATCTGAGCAGCTTTGGGTTTTTAGTATTTTTGGATTCATGAGCTTTACTCGAGTAAACTACGACTTGGTGCTTTCTAGAGGAACTTCGGGCCTTTACGGTATTGCTATGGTTGGATTCAGGTCCGATCCGACTTCCCCCAAATCATACAGGGCATAGCTGAGAGTTGCGGGGAGCGTCTCGATCGGTTCGGTATCACTACGAATGGTGTGCTTCTCGAACGCTATCTTCCCGTTATGAAAGCTACCGGACTTTCCCATGTAAACGTATCTTTGGACACTCTCATTGCTGAAAAATTTCCGATGATTTCAAACCGCCCCGACACGTATTGGAATCGAACTCGAAAGCTCATTGATAGAGTTAAGGACGATGAAGATTTCCGCTTGAAGGTGAACTGTGTGGTGATGCGGGGGGTTAACGATGATGAAATTCTCGATTTTGTTCATCTTACTCGAGATGGAAATCTTGAAGTCCGATTCATTGAATACATGCCTTTTGCTGGCAATAACTGGGGTTCTGGCAAGCTCCTGTTGCCCAAGGAGGAAATATTGAATCGGATCTACGACGCTTTTGGTGTTGAGAACATCACCGTGGTAGATGAAGTGGATCCTCACTCGACAGTGGGGAGAGAATACCGAGTGAAAGGCTATAAGAGTACCTTTGGTGTCATCAGCTCGATGACTGATCAGTTCTGTGGCGGCTGCAACCGTATAAGGGTCTCCGCGGACGGCCTGCTGTATAATTGCTTGTTCGCTTCGGCCGACTCGGGTGTGTCCTTACGGGACGCCATTAGGGAGGGGAGGCCACTCCGACCCCTTCTTGAGGAGTCTCTGGGACGCAAGGCTTGGGCGTTGGGCGGTCGGGCGGATATGTACGAGTTGGGTGAGAAAGCTAGCGAACTACGCAACATGATGAAGATAGGTGGCTGAGGTGGTGACCTTATCGATACTTTGCTGTTGCATTACCGTATGATTTTACCGACTGTTTCATTACGTTGTAAGTTTCACTACTCCGCCGTTCCGAGTTGTCAGTGATTGAAGACATCGTCGCACTCGTTGTATCCGTTGGGCCTCGCATTGGTTTGGGCCAAGGCGATCCAATACAAACAGTTAGTCAAAGGGTTGTGCATTACATCTGAGCAGATCACGCATCAGTATCAGCGTCAACTCGAACACTGAAAATTTTCATACATAGTTGCATTATACGACTCAAGGTTGCAATTGGAATCCGAGGAGGAGCATTAGCCTCCAGCCAGTAAAAGGTCTGTGAGGACAATCCCCGTGCAAAGTACGTGTGTGAGTGACAATATGAGGGTTCTGAAAAGTTCTCATTGGTTTCTATACCCTTCCACTCATACTGTAAACTTCCATAACATATTGGAGAAACTCCTAAACCGCAGCTGATGGGAGTGAACATTTACTCCAACATCGTCACCGTGGGTGAGTTGATCCTCTTGCAACGGCATGCATCGTGCAACTAAGCGTGCGTTGCAAAGATTTGATGCGGTAATGTTACTCCGACCCAAGGCATGTCTACAGCATTGACAAGATTCTTCTACATGAGTTTCAGACAACAGCTGTGATCTTCTCGGAAGTCATCGAACACCACAATTCTCAATGAGTTCGCAGCGAAATTGGAATATTAACAGAGAATATGATACAGGGCTAATTCATGGTTGACATAAATACGACTAAGTACAATGGTTCAACAACAACAACAAAGTCAACTATGGCAATTCTCATCTATACGGTCCCCTCCCTCTCCTCGTTGCATAGTAACACTAAACGGTAGCCCGACTGTGGTCATGTCCAGTCGAGACATCACTGATCCACGAGCTTATGAAAAAATTATTCTGCCAACCCTGTTGGGAAGGGGCGAGCCTGAGACACCGGGGGTCGAGGTTGGACACGTCCACATAGGAGGCCGGCTCTCTCCAGGACAACTGAGAAGCTCCTCCAGACGTCGTTTCGCTCCACTGCTTCTTCTTGGAACGTTTTTTCTTATTTGATACTTTTTCTGGTGAAGTTAAACAACCCCCAGACAGTACAGCGGCGACCGGTGTTGTGGTAGCGCTGGTTTTACTCAGCACAGAGAGACCCAGATGGGCGCTAAGTTCACCATCTGCAAAGGCTACCTGTCGGTCAAGGAAAAATAAGACCTCGGACGCAATCACAATACGGAGGGCCTACGCAGGGCTCCTTGAGAGAGTAGTTAGCAAAAAGCTTCAGCTCATATTTATTTCGAATCCACCGTTGTAGATGTTGGGACACGTCTGGGTCTAACCTATCACCACCACCATTCGGGAAAGTCCTTCCGTCGGGCTTATGAATATGTGGTGGAACGTTGTATCTGAGATGCCGCGAAGTGACCAAGGAGTGGTATGTGCTGTTGGACTTACTCGTAGTATTCATTACCAACCTTATTGCCAACAGCATCAGCCAAGGCCACCCACTCGGGCTTCCACTGGTCTATTGTTGCCGACTGGACAAACGTAATATGAGTACCAACGCCACGATGCACACCGGCACAGTTGGTACCTGGCTGGGGACGTTGAGGCGAGGGTACAGCGTGTTGAGAATATTACAGATGAAGACGCCTATATTGACTGATGCCCATCGGGGGTTGGGGGCATTACAGTCTGCACAGACCGCGTTTTCAGGGCGGGAGAGGATCCGCTCGAGCTGAGGGTTCATTGGCACAGTGGGAGTGCCCATCACTAGCTTGCAAGGAATAGTGCTGAATATAGTGAGGTGGACAAGGTGTCACAAGATGGCCGAACCCAACAGTGCGGAAGTACTACACTTGTTAGACGGGTGAATAGCAGATAAGAATCTTCCACTGGAATTGTAGAGACATGACGTTTCTGGCATTGTTCGCCATAACGAATGAACGCAAGGACGCTCGATGATCCCGAGGAGGATTAGCCAACAAAGAGGCTTTAAAAATATACTGTATAGATGGAACACGTGATTGGGTTGAGCCCTCGTATACTAGGATGAGGCGTATCAAATCGGGCAAGCAGTAGTCGAAAGAGTATGACGTAAGCAACACGGTAAGCAAGAGAATATAGTGAGGTCGTATGAAAAAGGGATAACACCACTTCATCATGAAGAAGGGCTGAGCTCCGACAATTACAATGGAGAAGGGCCTACGCAGCCTCGCCCCGAGTAGCAAAGGCGACGATATCTAAGTGCCACAGCAATGGTGACTGAACTGACGGAACCTAATTAGATATGCTCAGTCGGGATGAGTGATGATGTTGGGGAGAGACATGTGGATGTGATGGGAAGGTCGGCCTCGGCTTCACCAAGTGCCTCAAGTTACTACCGATAGCGCATGTTGCTGCTATTCCCCGCATAGTTGTACCTTCAGGGTCGAGCTAGAAGAGGGCGAGCTCTAACGCTGACGGTAGTAACCCGGTGGGCAGTTCTTCCCAAGAAACGACGCCTCTGAATACAGGAGGGCAAGAAACCCCTTCCTCTCGAAGGGTCCATCTCGAATCAACTGACCACGATATTCGAGGGCGTTATGATCGCTTTGAATACTCTTCACTGGGAAGAGCGCTGCATAAGGCGGGGTAACAACACTTGGTCAGAAAAGGCTTACTCCGTCGAGGCCATTACTCCGCAAGCTGACACTGTGAACAGCTGATAAAGCTGCAAAATAACTGTGGGCGTCTGTAGGAGTCAATAACGAGATTAAACCGTACCGTAACACGACAACTTCATGGAGCACTGATGAAGCCGGCGATGGTCATACCATGTGGCATGCCTCGTACACAACGAGCACTAATTAGTATGGGGACTCACGAGCTAACAGGTACTTACGGTGTCGCCCTTTGGAACGTATCGATGACAGATAGAGCTCCGACTTCTCCTTCTTCTCATCGAACATCTCGGGCGGCATCAGAGGCTCCAATGGGGCGATCAAGACTTCGTCCAGCGGTATGGTAGACGTCGCCGGCTCACCAAGAAGTCTTACCGACTGCCACACTGGCGAGGCCACCTTAGGCAAACACCCCAGGGACCCGACACCGTCTCTCTTCAATGGTTGGGGATCAACGAGACTGGGCACTCGCGTTATCGAGAGGTGCTCCCGAAGTGGGCAGAAGAAACCTCTCTGGCTGTGATGCTTGGGTCTGCCGTCACTATACTTGTCCTCTTCATCCAACCTCCTACGACCGGTAACGTCGAGGTAGATAACTCGACCCATGGGGGATGGAGGAGTACGTTGGCGTTCTTCCCAGAGGATACCCAGACCACCATCGGGCTCCTGTGGCCCAGCAGACACTGGTTTCCGTACTGGTGGTGCCACAGGAGGGACCGGAGGGGGTTGCGGTGGCAGAATGATCCCAGGGGGCGGGGGCAGTGGGCCCTCGTGATACGAAGTGGGAGGTGGTGGGTGGTAACGTGAGGTCTGTACAAAGGGCGGGGCGTTGGAATTCAGCGGTTGACTGTGTGGTACGGCCCTCCAGTTAGCCGATATTGGCTGCGCTGGTCCCTGTTGTGGATACCCTACAGGTCTCATCGGCATCATCCTTCCATGATGAGGATAGTGTTGTCTTATATAACGTTGTTGCGGGTAGGGTCCAGGATAGGGCTCGATGGGCATAGGCTGGTACTGGTGATGATAGTGCGCCATGGCTTGCCTTGCCACCTGGTCAACAGGCATTCTGTCCATGGGCACTTCCCACTGATGAGGACGATACCCCTCCCCCATAGGCGGTAGTCGTGGGCCGGGATGCATATTAGGGTTGTGGTAATGTGTCGGTTGTGGTACTTGGTGCCGCATAGGGTTGATACCAGGTGGTACAGAGTACCCGCTGGGCCCCTGTGGGTAGTTCCCGGCGCCCGTGAAGGGTGACGAGAATAGTATAGCCGGGGGAATCTCCATACGGTATGTATTAAAGCACGCCGGTGGGGAGGGAGGTGCCGGTGGAGGCTGCAGCTGATGGTAGCTAGGCTTCTTGGTCATCACCTCGGGCAAGGCAAACGGCTGCGGTAATGGGGACAAGCCGTATAGCTGACCGCCACCATTTTCTGGGAAGGCCTTGAGCTGGTCCCTCTGGAGGCGTCTTAGTGCTTTCTCTCGTTCATACTCTTGCTTTAGTTCCTGGTGGTCCTTACCCGCTTCCTCCGGTCTCCTCTGTCGAACCATCGTGGTCCCCATGACGTTGTAGCGCTGTTGGGCTTGCCAGAAGCACTGAGTGCTGGGAACTCGAAGGGGGATGAACTCTTCAGCCAGGTGTCTAAGTCCGGATTTCCTCGCTATTTCAGAAGGCGTAGGCGATGTTGGTCCGACCCGCTGCCAGAAAAAAATATATACAATTTGCCCCTTCCCCCCACCTACCCCCGAAGGCTCCAAGGCGCCCTCATCGGCGGACTCCTCACTACTCTCGGTCGGTGTCTGAGGGGAAATAATTACCCTATGGATACCATACTATTGCTACCTCGACAAACGTGAGCCCCTTGCAGACCGATAATGGTACCCGCCCCCCGGCCCTTTTACTAGGGTCGAATATAGGAGAGTCTTCGGAGAGGAGGGTAGGCAAACGATCTTCCTTGGCCTGTCGAAGTGCGACCTCTTGTGGCGAACACGATAGAGGATTCTCATCATCTGAACTGACACCTTCTAGCAGTGTGAAAAAATATGCACATATGTTGGTAACAATATAAAAATTCTGAGAAAATTTATGGAGATTCTCATTGGCTCCTGCACATCTTTACCGGGCTCGTATGCAAACCTCGATAATTAGTGAGGAAACGTCTGAGTTCAGCTGCTGAGGAAAGCGAACATATATTCCTCCAACACTGCCTCCCACATCCAACTCGTCGTTACCTTCAATGTTGGGCTCTTCTTTGGCATCAACTACAACAGTCGGTGCCTCTGAGGAGTACTGCATTATTAAACTCAACTGGAGAGACCCTTTGAGCCAAGGGGCTCGATAACGAAAGACTAGGGAGGTGGGGTAAACGGGATGATGATCATATATACTACACGAATGATGTGCATTAACGTGGTACAGGCAGTGAAAGATGAGATCAGCAGACTCACGTCAGGAAGAGGACTATGGACGGGCAGTGTAGTATAATCAAAATAATAGCTGGGGTGGGTTAGAATGCTATTGGGCGCATGCCTGGACGCCGGAACCCTCCGACGAAGAACTAGAATGCCTTTGGACCGCTAACCTGATGGAATAGAGATGTTGACGGAGGTGTGGTATGAAAATCTACGTGGAGGATAATAGAGTGCTGAGGTCGGGGCGAGGGCTCATCTTCAGGTAGCGGACGTAGGCTTTTAAACGCTTATAGTATTGGTCCCGATACCTAAACGAACGATGACATGTGATAGGATCGAACCCGGGACTTGGTGTATATACATGGACAAATCAAACTGAGCCGAATTAGCGTTCATCAGGAACGCCCCCACAGTCTCACCGTGTTTCGATATCATTATGGGTGCCACCTTTAACCCACCAAGGTGGGTACAGCGCGGTAGTGCCAGGAGCACATCTCCTGTCCTTATCTCCTGTGATGGTCTCGGCCAATAACATACCATGCTCATAGGGAACCTAGTAGGTCACTAGGGAGTGCACAAGATCGCTCTACTATTACTTCTTCATCATCCGTGCCATGAATGATAAAAATAGGCGGGGGGCTCTTACCAGCCTCGGCAAAGTAGTCGGATAACTTCTCGACATTCCGGTAGAGGTCGAACCTAGGAAGAGCCCTCGAGATGATTTGCTGAATGCCCATTGTCACTACCATGGGGTCCGTCGGGGTCTCTCGTACGACTTGTAAACTCGAAGACCACTACCTATAGCACTGTGAAGGATAAGACCACCAACATGAACCTGATTCGGTGAGATGTAGTTTCCGAGAATAGTTACTGTGATGCTACCTTAGTGTACAGATCGACGGCGGGCCCTGAGCCTATGGACTGACCGTAGAGAATAATGTTACTGGGCGGGATGCCCATAGAAGATATTGCAAAATCATATCTAGGATATAGAGTCTACGAGTTGGAAGAAATATGGTATGCCGCGTTACACAGCCCGAATAGTAGTGTACGTATTCGACTCACTAGGTTTACCACTGTTCAAACCATACCTGATACGAGATGAAAATCTTCGCTGTGCGCAAAAAAGGTATCTTACCCAGGATAGTCGTACGCAATTAGATCAACTTTGAGGTGACGGGCGAGGTAGTAATAGGAGATCCAGCTGTATCCAATATCTACGATGTGACAAAGGTGTGGTATGAAATTAATTATCGGCGATAACCTGTTGAATTTCCATGCGAAAATATAATCGTCCAGCGGTCCGGGTTGACCTCCGTTGAGTGTTTGAAATAGAAGCCGTTGATACCGCCAGGAAAGAGCACATGGTCACAGGACAGTTTTCCGTCACAGTGCAGGGACAATACGTCCGGGACCTGGATATTTGAGGTAGAGCAAATCCAATATAGGTAACCGTAGCGCTACCCGAATGGACAGTTTTTTCCGATCATCTCGCAGCATTATGATCAGTTTTGTAGGACCGTACGGGTCGTTGTTTTTTCGCCAACGTTTTTTCTTGTATTTCAACGGAGCTCCTGAGATATATTCTAATTTGCCACTGTAGAGAGGGAAAGGAGACTTTCACCTTCATTGGGGGCAATAACACCATAGCCGGACTGTCGAGGAGGGTAGAAGGTCAAAGGCCGTACCTGTGGGAGGTGATAAAGCGTGGGTGGGAGGAAGATGACTTACCACACACTCACGACAACCACAGAGTGATATGCAGCCAAAGCAGAATATCAGCGACATGCGCACTGCTGCCCGGGGTAATCAAATACTAATCTTGTGACGATGACGGGATAAATTACGCACTTCGTGAATGAACGATTATTACAAAATAATCGTTTGTGAATTTATTCCGCACGCATAATCGTTCAAGCTAAACGACGCTTGGTCAGTACTTTTTCGTGGAAACATCACCGCAGTTGGGCAGATTAGAAGCCTCTACTTTTGACCATGTTATTACGGCAGATGACTCAAGCTGTTACTCATAAGCAAACAGCCTAAATGGCGAATTTTCTCATAGACCTGAGCATAGGAGGAAGTGAACGATACGTGATACCGCAATTGTAGATGATGCCAGGAATGGTAGAGGTTATGGCATCTACAGGGACCAGCTGGGTGATGGGCCTATGACCCTCTATCTCGAAGTGGAGGAGATCCGTAGGGGGATGAAGGCTGTTGTAGAAACTTATGGTTTGGCAACTGACGTTAGTGTGAAACGAAAACTGTGCTGTAATGTCAAATGCTCAGTTTTTGGATCGTTTTTCTCATCGTCGTTCGCCTACCATAGTACATGCCCAATGCCATGTGGCAAACAGCACAGCTGGTTAATATCGCAAAGTACGGTATGACGGTCAGAAGGGTGTTGTGGACCAGGAGGACATGCCTTTCGGGGAGAAGGGATGGTGTTCGAATCTTATTATGAATCCTCATGGTTTACCCAGTCGAATGACTGTGAGAAAATTGGGAATAATTCGTGTTTACAGGAGTGTGTATCTGGCAAAGCTGGCGTTCTCGACGGTGAACGGTCTTATGGTACGGCATTTGGTGGGACTACTAAAGAGCATATGACAGAATCTTTGATCCGTCATGGTTTCCATCATCCCAGCGTCAAGGAGTACATCACATCCGGCGTCACAGAAGAGACTCTCGAGTGTTACATCTTCGTGGGACCGATTCACTATTGCCAGAAACTGGACCATATGGTAGGTAGCCGCTCACATCTGGTTGTTCATTGATCAAGTTCAGGTTATGGATAAAATC